ACAACGGAATTAAAAATCCTTTCACAGAATTAACGCAAAATTAGAAGGTAGTACAATGGATTTTATAATAAAATCGAAAAAAGTTATGTAAATTTTTAACTGTTTTTCTATTTTAGTATAAAGTCCGCTATATCACCTCCTAATTTTGCATCTATTTTAATTCTGTAAAAGGATTTTTGATTCCGTTTAGTCAATTCGGAGATTTTCATACAGCTGTAATGTCGATAATTTGGTCACTTCAGCATTCCTTTAAGGGGATCTTAAAGTCATCTGTTTTTATTTGAGAGCAATAACTTTTACATTAACTTTCATATGTATTACTTTTACAGATTTAAAAATTCTTTTCCAGAATTAAAGTCAATAATACAGTCAATAATACATTTTCATACGAAAAACAAAAATCGATTAGATTACAGTTTTTTGGTTTTGTTCGATTTCTGGCGCCGACTCGGCAACAATATATGTCTGTATAAAAGTTTCATATATATCTCTGACATATCTTCAATTCTACAAAGCACCTTATTTGTACATATTATATCATAATTTAATGTAACGTTTAATATTATTTGTTAATATTTCGTTATTACACTGAAGATGACCTAAATTGTGGCCAAAACGGCTGTAATTGTCAATTATTGTTAATAATACGTATAAATTTCATACATTATTATCCAGTGTCGGTTTACATTGACTATTTTTAACTTATGATTTAAAAGTATAAATTTTATATTTTTTCGTATAACATAAACAAATTTTGTACGGACTAGATCTGATAAGGATTACATGAAAGAATAATATTATGGTTTTTGAAATAAGCTTAAGAGTTTTAAGAGTACAAAAGAAAAAAATTGCAAAAATTTTGTTATGTCATGTGTGCGTACGACATTAATGCATATAATGATTTGTTGGTGTTTCATAAACTATACACATGTGTCGTAAATTATTTGTGTGTATAAGTTGATAAAACAGCGAATCCATTGGAGTTTAGTCTTTAATTTAGAATTCTCTTAATATAACTGTCCAGTAACTGCTTAACAAATGTAGAAATTTCTATCAGATTTACATTGTGTAATATTTTGGATTTCACCTAACTATACTATAATTAATGAGACCTTATCCTAATGCGTTAACTAAATTTTAATTATTAAAACTTTGATCTGAGTGCAGTATAATGATGAATTTCATTCAATTTGCGTACATTGAGATTATAATTGTAATGAATTTGAAATATTTTTTTATATCTATATTTTATATTTCTAATAGCGAATTTGATTGAACGCACTAGTGCATATTAAAAGCTGTACACTGATTTAATTTATATAAAAATGAAATACAAATATTTCGAATTATCCAATAAAATTTTATTTGAAAGCACAATGAAATGTATTGAAGATTTCATGATTTGTTTTTATATTTATTGAACACATATTTTTACGTGCACATATTTTTTGTGTACTACAGCTTTAATATGCACTAGTGAGCACAGAGCGCATTCAATCAAATTTGTAATAAATATAGTCTAAAATACAATCTTGATCATGAATATGAAGCACTCCCATAGATTGATGTTCTAACGGAAATAAATTAAAAAACATATTTATTATAAAATAAAATTAATTTTTATAAAAATTTTAATATTTTGTTAGTTTTATTTTGACTTTTATTACTGTTTTTTTTCCAAGAAAATGAAATAAATGAAGAATACTTTATATTTCTGACGAAAGTCACATACACGCATGCACGCACGCACGCACACACAAAAAACACACACACACACATATACATATATATATCTCTCTGAAATATCAAATTCTTTTTTTTTGTTTTTATTCACTTTCCTACGCGTGTCATCTTTCTTTGTTCGCGAAGACAGTTACGTATCGATCTGATAATGGTCGCACAGTTGCGCGCGACATGAAACATTATCAGATGCTTTTATTACAGTCCCGTATTCGCATATTCAATTTAATTTATCATTTTTCCATATAATTTATGTTTAATTTATAATTTATCTTTAATTTATTAATTTTAATATAATTCATCTTTAATTAGTCATTTATCGCATAAAGTTCTAAACAGTAGTTAGTAACAACAATTAATTGTACATTACTCTCGCAAGAATTCTCATATTGAGAAAAGTACATCCGATTAATTAACAGAGTTGGAAAGTAACGCGTTACTTGTAACACCGTTGCTTTATTGATCATTACCATATTATAATAACGATTTGGTAATCTTGAATTTTTTGTAACGGTAACGATAATCAGAGTTAGAAAAGTGTATTGTTACTTGTAACGAAAAAAAATTGAAAAAGTTATTCGTTAATAAAAAAAATAACTTAATTTGTAACGCGTCACTTTTTACTTGTAACGAGTATCGTTATTATTTATTACTTATTACTTTTTTTAATAAATAATGCGTAATGGCAAATTATTTTTCAAAATAACTTTTCTGATTTTAGCACAAGTTTAGCGTTTAGTTAGTTAGCGTTACCATCATAAAAAATTGTAACATCGTCATCAAATTGTTTACTTTAAAAAATAACGGCAAAGTAACTGAAAAGTAACATTTCTCTCTGCTCTCTCTCTCTCTCTCTCTCTCTCTCTTTCTAAACTCTGTTAATTAATATTATCTTATATCAGAAAAAAGGATTACTGATATTTCAATTATCAAGTCTAACCCAGTGAGAAATGATAGAAGAATCGACATCGAATCGAAATCATCAAATCGATGTTGAATCGATTTCATCGTCATTTCTCACTGGAAATTGTTTTTATGCATTAATTATCGTGTCACATAATGAGTCAATAAAGGCGCACTTGTTCAATAATCTTTCAAAGGATCCTTCTAGCAAATTACATCTTTCAAATTTCACTTTTATTTGTAAAACTTGACAATGCGCTAACATGAAGTTACTCGTATAATCTAGCGTAACATAATTGTTAAAGTGCAACCGTGCAGTTTGCAATGAAAACAGTTAGTCTTGTAAAATTATAACGTGCGCTAGTTAATATATTACTAGAAATAAAATTTTGCACTATAATTTTATAGTAATAAGGAAGAAGGACCTACAATAAAACAAACAACAATTAAAATGTGAAAATCTTGCCACTTCGCTCATTACATTGCAACTTCATATCAGCAACAATCTTCGTCAAACCCGTATCAGACTAGAAATTGAGATTGAAATTGGATTGGAATTTGATCAATGGAAGCAAAGTTCATTAATTTTGATATTGGTTTTTTTCCTTCTGATTGATTAAACTCCAACTCAATCTAAATCTCTGTATGGACATTATTATTATATTATACATTATTATTATTATACATTATTAATATAATTGTATTTGGGGTATTTAATTGTAAGCTTATAGGGGGGAGATGATCAATGTTTTTCAACGAGGCAGTAGCCTACCAGAATGCACCATGTATACATATGTAGTATAGTATCTGAAAATAGCAGTAAGGCGTCTACCACTGAAGGATAGGTGGTAGACGCATGGTAATGCGATGTTTATCCTCTTCACCATAGCTAGTAACCGTTGTATGAAGTCGTCAATGGTGTTTTCATTGAAAACAATGCGTCTCTCCTGATGAAAATGGTATTGGCCGAGTTAATCGAAGAAGCTCAACAGGGAAACAGTCAAGGTTTACCAAATGACCGATTCAAGAGAACTGCACTTACAAATATACATCTTCATTCTGTCTTCTCTGTCGCATTTTCATTCCGCGACTTTTAACTTAAACTCTTCCAACCATTCTTCTATTATAAAGATAATAAGTCCGCCATCTCTTATTTTATTAAGTAAAATAAAATATTCTTTTAGTAAATAAAATATTTCTATTGATAATGCAGATAAGATATTAATCGAGAAATATGATATAGAGGAAGAGGACATAGATATTAATAATTTATCAAAAATATAATATATAGGGATAGTCAAGTGACTGCATAGAAAAGCTCTGTCCATTTATGGATCGATTCACGTTTAATGATTAATGAATCTATCAGTCCATCAGGTTCTCCGATACATTTTTTAAACGATTACATTTTCATGTCAAAACTCATACGGTAACAATTTTTTTCACCAGATTTTGATAACAATTATGTAATCAGTCATTTAGAATAAAACCCGCATGTGGGAACAGATGAATTATCTGAACAAGGTATGTATTATTTTTATCTATGTCAATAAGACAGACGATAGCGACTAGAATCGCAGTTAGAATCTCCCGTCACGTTAGAGCTGCATGTGGGTGTGTATTGCGATCAATGTGTTACCGAAAATAACTCGTATCCATTTTAAAGTATTAACGCTGTAAGGGTCGTACACAAATGTCAGACGCTTTGGGTATTATATATTCTCAGTATCTCGTTTTATACTGATATTTTTGCAGTAGTATTTTTGCAGTAATTTCAAATGTAAGAAATTACAAATTGTATGTATGAATTATTAACATTTCAATAATTTAACACTGTGTCGTAATGTTGATTAATCTATGATAGTAGATCCGTTTTCATAAGTGTGAATACATATTGAACAATTCATGAATCAATTGTGAATCATTTACTCATTTACATATGTGAAGAATGATTCAACAAGATAATGATTGATTTATTGAACTGTTTTAATTGTTATAGCTACACTAAGAAAATTTTTGATACTTGTGATTATAATTGCATGATAAAATGTGATTAGAAGCTTTTTTATAGTTTATTGCTATAATGTAATTACACACACACACACACACACACACACACACACACACACACACACACACATATACAATTATATTTATAGTTCTATATATCAAAGAGAATGTATGGGGTTGCTTTGGAAAATGACTATAAACATAATTATATAATAGAACTGTAAATATAACTATTATACTCACATTATAACAGTAATAATTATAAAAAAAACGTCTGAATCACAATTATTTTATTATGTAATTATGGTAACAAATATCAAATATTCTCTTAGTATGCCACAAAATACCTCTTTTCTAAGAGCATCCTTCAATGGCTGTTGTTGCGGACCTCCGTTCTCCAGCAATAGGCTCTTGACACTGCCACCTTTGTCCTTGACGCTGCTCCATCTTTGTCGCGGTACGTCCGTCATCCTCTCGCTACGATCGCTCTCCCGTAGCGAGCCACCTTTAACTCGCAGGGCACTGAGAACCGCTGTCGCAGGTGCAACCGGGACCTCGAATTGCCCCAAGAGATGTTCTGACATCGCTCCCGGTGACTTTATGCAGGTCATCGTCGTTGGGGTGAGCGTGTTTGCTGAGGAAACCGACTTGACGAGTAGATCCTTGCCCTCCTTCTTCCAAGATGAAAGTTTTCTGCCAAGAGATAAGGTGTTCGGTGCTGAGGTTGGTTTCTGAGACGAGTTGGGAAAGTCGTCGGGGAAAGTATCCGTCTCGTTGATCACGTGGACGTTTTCGTTGATCACGTGGACGTTATGATGTCTCGTCAGGGTTGTTGTCGCCGTTGTGGCGCAACAGGAATCCTTGTTCAAATCCAGAAGTCGATTTTCCGCAGTCCTAGGATAATAATCCTTGACTACGGAGGATCCGGTAGTAGTTACAACTCTTCGTCTAGCGTTAAACTTGGGTATCCTGTTGCGACAAACGTTCGATGTCGTTCTAATGTCCTCGATCAAGGCGTCTCTCTCCTCGGACGACAGCTCGCTTTCCTCTTGAAGATCCGAGGAGGTACTACCGCTGATCTTGATGGCAAAACGTCCACTGGTACCAGTTGAAGTACCAGCCTCTTTGTGGCACTTGTAGCCAGTGATATTTTCGCGCGGCTGACTGTGCAGCAGGCTCTGCAGGTCGCGCTCGTATGACGACGAACTGATCGTCGACGTCGTCCCACCGCCGCCGATCTCCGTGGATACTAGTCGCCGCGCCGTGCCGTTCGTCGATGTGGACTTCGCCAAAAAGTATCGCTTTCTGCGCGCGTGATTCCCGACTTCCGATCGCGCACAGGCCCCGTCGTTCTCCAGCGACAATTCAAACCCACAACGAGCGTTCTCCTTGAGCCTTGATTCTTCGCAACGAGAGTGTCCTCGATCCTTCCTCTTTCTCCCTGCAGTGTCGTCGAGTTTTTCGCGACTGGATCGAGGACCCTCGTCAGAAATGCTGGATTCCGCGATGCTTGAGTCCTGCCGTTTTGCCTCAATCGGTAGGATCTGCTTCCTTCTTATCACCACTGGTGGCGGTCGGGTAGCCACGTTGATAACCGTTGGTGAATCAATCGACTGATCCTTCACCGAACGCAACGCTATGCGTTCGTCCCACAGCTGGGACGAACCCGGGGCCTGCGACTTCGACAGTTTTTCCTTGAATAGCTGAATTTTGGCGAAGTGATTATTACAATCTCGCTGTCAATCGCTTTCGCGTTATTTATTTACGTAGCACGATTTCCGAACACCGTATTTCGACGAATTCTTGAAGATCAAATCGTTATTCGTCCACGAGTATAAGTAAGGCAATTAAATTTAATCGAAGTAATCGTTATCGATATCGTATTCTGTTATTTGGTATTTTCTCGTAATATAAAAAGACAAGACAATGCAAAAAAGAGCATTGATTAAAAGTTCGACGCTTTGAAAGACTGTTGGGTTAATATGTTCCGTTTGTGCCTTTTTTGCTTTATGTTTCCTCTTTATGCTTCAAGTAAAAATCAAATCTGTCGAACGATGAAGCAGACTTTCTTTTGTGTTTGTTAACAGTAAAAGTTGTGCATTGTTATTATACGTATATAGGGACGTGTGCGCATCAAAATTATTTAATACTTATTGCAAACTCTGTACTTGTAAATAAACTGTGTATTAAATAAATTAATATCAATAATTCTTGTTAGTTTCTTGTGGTCCGTAACATGAAAACAAAAGTTTTTAAATATCGCAATCCACCGTCCTCTCTCTTGTATAATAAACAATCCCTCTGTTGAGGTGACTCTCTTATTTAATTAAAAAATTGTTTTCTCTTCTCCTCAAAACATTGATATAAAATATAAAAGGATGATTGTGTGCGCATATATGTGTATAATCGACTTAAACTTAACTTTCTCCGTCGGCGTAGAGATCGCGGTAAACTTCGTTAATAATTAATTAGCAATAAGTAATGGATGGAACGTGACGACAGTCTCAGTACGGAAAAGATAACTTTCTGAATATCAGTCTGAATTATCCTTCTCTTCCTCTTCTTCTTCTTCTTCTTCACATTTGTTTAAGTTCAAAGCTCAAAAATATTATTCAGCAAAATTGAGATTACAAAGGAATGTAAAGAATTCTTCTCGTGCTCAGCACTTTGATACTTCTGCGTTTTGAACAGTAACAAATATTCAGCGTATCTTAATAAGACGCAATGCAATAAATAATTGGAAATTCGGCGCAGGTACAAATATTCGGTGTAAGCCCTCTAGACGACGAGACACAAGAATTTTGCGAAAATGGTCCACTTTCGTCGATGAATTTGGCACGGGCTAATACTGGGGAGTCCTCCACGGAGCCTGAGGTGACATATCGTTTTACGACGATAACGTTCCAATTTCCTATCACGAAGACGCCTTCTCGTGAATTTTTCTTAATGATCAGCCAAACAGAAAAGCTCTCGAATCTTTAAAGACTGTTTTCTTCCGATATGTGTAAATCGTAGATTCGGACTAGATAGATTATTTCGTCCCGAATGAGATATTATGTGTTTTCTTTCAATTTATCGATGAAAGGATGAATAGACTTATGATAGACTGATTTTTCAGATTGATCACAACACGGCAGGATAAACTGTCAGCGTGGTTTTCACGCGTGTTATCTTATAAAACTTTAAATAAAACAGTTTCCATAATTTTGGCGTGAGTCCAAAGCTCGATGACTATCACTTGCATTTCGTTGGATTACGCGAAGACTTTATTTCTTCCTTAAACTTGTGCACATCTGTTACGCTATAGCTTTTCTCACAAATTGTAGTCGTTTGGATTCGCTCGACTGATCGACAGGACGGAGTGCCTACGGTCAACTACCGACGAGTCCATACTCTATAGACGCGCTACAGCTGGTAGCCACCAGTAAGATCGAAGACAATGTCTCTGACCGTAAACACGCTTTCAGGAAAAGATATACGCGCCCGCGATGTCCAATCGTCACCAGGGATATATCGCATATGAAACATATCTATTTGAATTGTCCGACTTGACTCACAGCCATGCAGTGACAATCCCGGTTAACGCACCAATTTTCAGCGTACGCAGCACATCATGCTAGTTTCACGAGCACCGTCGACTATAGCTGACGCGTTCCCTCATCATCCCAGCGACGTGGTCCGAGTCGACTCCCGTACGAGCGCACTGCGGCCGAGCGACTAACACGAGAGGGATGTTCGAGCGAAGGCGCGTTGCGCGCTTCGGAGGGTCGCGATCGTTGTTACAGCCGACATTTCAATTTCTGGTTTCCGGGGGAGGGAGAAACAAAGACAAAGAGAGAGAGAAAGAGAGGGAGAGAAAGGGTAAGAGCCAAAGATAGATAGAGAGAGTCAGAACGCAATGACCTTCCGCCCTCAGTTAAGTCTTCCGCGCGCGTGGCACCGTCCCTTCTTTGTTTTCACCCTTCGTCGTGTTAATATCGAAGGCAGTCAACTTCTTCTACGTCCTCAGCGTTACGTCGCGTCACATCAGCTTCGTTTTCGATATGCGCGCCGCGCTCGCTTCGTTGTCATCACCGTCCTCACCGTCGCTACCGCCGCCGTTGACGACGACCCACCTGTACTCCGGTTATTGATTGGCAGTCCGAGTCTCGCTCGCGCGCGCAATGCGCGTCTCTACGCAGACTCGGGTACGAGGATCACCCCCGTTCGAGAGAAGAATGCGCGGCGCCGCGCGGCGCAATGCGAGGCGTAACAGTGCGGGACGCCACGGCCAGCTGACACTGGTCGACGTCATGCGGACCATTGTCGAGCACGGCGCATTATGAGACTATAGAATGCTTTCTTGCCAGATAGGATTGTTAAAATGTCACGTAGACTCTTGGAAAGGGTCACATAGATAACATTCTGATTATTGCTTCTGTTCTGATTATTGCTTCTGTCTCTCTTGCCAAGATATCAAAATAGAAAGGAGAAGAAAGCATTTCACATATATTATATTATATAAAAAAATGTCCTGCATGGGGCTTGTCATAATATTTGTAAATTTAAGATTCGTGTCGATAAATAAGAAATTACATGTTGGTTATGTTATGTATTATTCATAATTTAATAAATAAAATAATACATGCGCACCCTTCACTCGCATATTCTATGTATGTATGAATTTCCCTTTTATTTAATAAATTAGTTATAATATTAGTAATATAAAAATTACGATTAACACATTAATTTTATAATTTAAATATAATATATTTGAATAAAACATAAAACAAATATATAAAAAATACAATTACAAAGAAATGCAAAAGATAATACAAGTATAAGAAA